TTCCAACAACAACAAAATACTAGATCACAAACATGTCCCTGTATGTGTATGTGTTTGTGTGTATGTGTTTGTGTGTATGTGTGTGTGTGTGTGTGTGTATTTGTGTGTATGTGAGTTTGTGTGTGTGTGTGTGTGTGTGTGTTTGTCCCACTGTCCCATAACAAGCATGTAGTTAAAGTCGACTGATTATCAAAGAAGAAGTGCATCTGCCTGAGGGAGGCAAAGCATTACCAGTCTGCATCAAAATGAGCCAGATCTGTTTAAAGGATATGCACGCAACGCTGAAGTTCTGGAACACGAATACAGTCCAGACGTGGACAAATAACTAACTATAAGGTTCCGCCAGAGTTTACAGCGGTAAACACGAACAAGAAAAAAGAAAACAATCACATACATTTACATACATACAAGTAATCAATCAATTTCCTTTGAAACGATCGATAATGTTTAATTCTGCGTGTATTTAAAATTTTGAGAAGTATACAAACAATATCGACGGAATGAAAAAAAAAAAAAAAAACCAGGACATGACAGTCCTTCTTCAGAGCAGACGAAAATTTTAAAATGATTACATAAATTAGACACAGGAAGCGAAATTGCTGGACATGTGTATGAGGTGACTTGAGAGTTGAAAAGCGAGCCGCCACGGAGGAAACGTTCAGGTGGAGGAGGCGCTAAGTCGCATACAATTTTCTGGGGTTGGAGGTGGGGGGGGGGGGGGGAGGGGGATGGGGCCTCAAGAGGCTTACAACTAGTTTAACTGCACAATAAAACATTCCTATTGTTATTATTATTATCATTATTATTACTGCTGGGTGCAGAGTTACAAATAAATAAAATAGTATGTTTGAAAAAAAAAAAGAAAAAAAAAAACCATAGCATTTGTATCAACAGATTCTTTAAAACAGGACGTTTATATAAGGGAAAGGGGGAGAGATTTCTTACCTTGACAATTAATGGGAGATGCCCCCCCCCCCCAACCTCTTCCTCCACGTACCCTAAAAATTTGAGGGGGTGGGGAGGTAATTAGGGTTCCGGAGCCTCTGAAACAAAGTGAAAACTGCACGTGGTGATTAAAAAAAAAAAGGTCACACAGATAGCAAAGAGACCAATACCTGTCTGGGTTGTCTATATATATATATATATATATATATATATATATAATATATATATATATATATATATATATATATATATATATATATATATATATATAAAGATCTATGTCCTGATCTATTAATTGTGATTGTCAGAAGTGGCTAACCATCACCACCTGCGTTGATTGATAGGACACATCTTGATGATGAGTTAATTAGTCACTTAGCCCCTCTCTCTTTTTCTCACTCTCTTTCTGTATGTGTGTGTGTGTTTTTTGTCTGTCTTTGTCACTGTCTCTCCTTATCTCTCTCTGTAATGACCCAAAATAGCGCAGTAGTAATGTGCTTGCCGGTTTAACAGTCTGTAATGTTTTCGAATTTAATGCAAAAAGATGGATCTTGAAAAAATCGGCCTTAATTCACAAGTCTATACCGCCTTACAATTGTACGAAGAAAGCAGCTAGGAAGTAAATGAGGCCGACGATTGAAATGGGAAGTTAGTTTGTTAGTTAATCTACGGATCGTCCTCATCGCACATCGGTATCTCCCTGAGCGTGTGGCCACTGACAACATGTTCTGCATTTGTTTACTATTCTTCTTTGGCTACATGTACATTTTTTCCCTTCCTTCCTCATCTTTCTCTTCCACCCGTCTTCATCATCATCATCTTCTTCTTCTTCTCTGTTTTCTCTCTTCTTTTTCTTTTCTTGTCTTTTTTTTTCTTCTCTTTTTTTTTTTTTCCTTTCTTTTTTTCTTTTTTATCATCTTCCTTTCTCTTCTTCTTCTTTTCTCTCTTTCTTTCTCTTCTTTCTCTTCCTTCTCTCTCTCTTCTTCCTTTCTCTTCTTCCTCTCTTTCTTTTCTTCTTTTCTTTCTCTTTTCTTTCTTTCTTCTTTCTTCTTCTTCTTTCTTTTCTCTTCTTTCTTCTTCTTCTTCCTTCTTCTCCTCTTCTTCCTTTCTTTCGTCTTTTGATCTTCTTCTTCTTCTTCTTCTTTTTCTTCTTTTTCTTCTTTTCTTCTTCTTTTTCTTCTTTTTCTTCTTTCTTCTTCTTCTTCTTCTTCTTCTTCTTCTTCTTCTTCTTCTTCTTCTTCTTCTTCTTCTTCTTCTTCTTCTTCTTCTTCTTCTTCTTCTTCTTCTTCTTCTTCTTCTTCTTCTTCTTCTTCTTCTTCTTCTTCTTCTTCTTCTTCTACTACTTCTTCTTCTTCATAATCGTCATCGTCATCATTCTTCTTCTTCTCCATAATCATGCTTATAGTAACTATCATCATCATTGTCATCATCCTAATCATAATCATTCTTGTCATAATCACCGACACCACCACTACAACCACCGTTGTCATCACAATCATCTTCTCGTTCTTCTTGTACCCCTTCTACTACTGCTGCTGCCGCTGCTGCTGCTACTACTTCTACTTCTACTAATACTAGTACTCCGACTAATAGTACTCCTACTGCTACTACTATTACTACTACTACTGCTTCTGCTTCTGCTGGTGATGATGTTGCTGCTACTACTACTACTATGACTACCACTAGCAGATTATGTGTATTCGTGTAGTTTTGTTTGATTTATGTATGTGCTGATGAAGGATTTATAGCGGCAACGTTTTACGTTTTGTTAGTTTTTGTTATACTATGAAGCTAGCTTATTTGTTTTTGGTTTGGTTTGATATCTTTCCCTACTACTACTACTACTACTACTACTACTACTACTACTACTACTACTACTACTACTACTACTACTACTACTACTACTACTACTACTACTACTACTACTACTACTACTACTACTACAACAACAACAACAACTACTACTACTACTGCTGCTGCTGCTGCTATTGCTGCTGCTGCTACTACTACTACTACATTTATTAGAACTATTAATACCGCCGCTTCGACTTGTGTAATGTTAAACCTTCACCCTCCCCCACCCACCCCAGTAAACACTGCAGAGCTTCTTGTCACCTGAACGATGGTATATGAAGGACGCCTGTTTCACTTGCCTGCTTGTTCATGCCATAACATTTCCGATGACGTAACCTCTACTGCTTGTAATGAGCGGTACTTTCTAATTAGTCGAAGACAAACAGGGGAAATCCATAGGTCAGGGGACAGTCAAATATTTTAGGGGATGGTAGATTGAGCGTACAGTTTTGGTTAGGGTTATGTTTAGGCTTGAGGCTATGGTTAGGTAAACGCGCGAAAACCTTGGCCTTGGAAAAAACACCCTAAAGCACAGAAACCACGGAAAATTTGCTCTTACCATCCTCTAAACTATTGGACTGTCCGATAACGTCATCTGTGGTCGGCTAAAATGAAAGCACCTACTGAGCTTTAACCTGGCCAATTATCCGTACTGTCTCATATGTCTTATTAAATCATCAACTGCACTGTTAGTCTAAGAAATATCGATTGCCTTGAAACCAAGTATGTTATTCAATGGTCGAGATAATGAATTAGCGCGCATTAATTAGGGCTAATTTAAAGCTAGAGATAGAAGTGTGAGTTACACTACACATTAAACAACAGAAACATGAACGTGTACAGGCGCACTTCGATGAAATACTGACGCTTCAATTTGAACCTGCGAATTTCTGTGTGCTTGGTGTGTTCGAGTTTTGAAAATTCTCTAATTTCTGCTTGTTTGCTTTGTCACAGTCGAGCACACATCATTATATTTTAATGTAATTTTTTTGTAGTTCTTCGACAAAGAAACAAAACGTCTAAGGAAAGATGGCCGTTTCAGGCAAAACAAAATTACACTCATAATTATTTTCCACTTTTACGCCAGGCGCTGTGAGGAGGATAAGACAGTGTTTGAGCGCTCAATGGCATTTACAGTTTACAACGTTTTTAATGAATCAATCTTCTTTCTTTGTGTTTCCACGCCTACTAGTTCTTGTAACAGCTCTTTTTAGATGAAGCACCTGTGTTGAGAATTACTTGTGTAATTCCATTTCTGAGACCGCGACTTGAAAGTTTTGGTATCCCAATCGACGTCACAACACATTGGGTATTCCTATGTGTGCTCAGTCCTCCAATGGAACAGCCACTCAAATGTTCTTCTACTAATTGTTTCCATGAGAAGTTGATTATAATGTTCCCTATCTCGGCCCCGACGGCGGCATAGACGTGCTTCACCATGCTTCACTCCCATGTCACGCAATCGTATTACTGGAAGATTTCTCATTATCCACTAGCCCAGTCTGAACAGCATTGATGATATCTGCTCTGTCCATGCCTTCTCCCCCATGCCTTGGTGCATTGCCTGCCCATTAGTCCGTTCGCTCATTACACCTTACGCCGGCATAACCTGGTGTGTAGACCCAGAGAGAGGTTAAGTTCGATTTTCGTAAGCTTTCTACCTATTCATACAGCATACCGACTGTTGTTATCTTCTGAAGCATGTTCATGGAGTCTGATATAATTACTGCCTGTGTGGCTGTTTGCTCTGATGCCTATGCTGGCCAGTACTTTAGAAACAGCGGCTATCTCCATGGTTATGCTTGACGTGGTTGTTTGGTAAACACTCCTGTCCTCTTGTATTGTTTTCGCCATTGTTTGCGCTTTGATCCGCGCTTCACGGATCCATCTTTAATGGGTAGGAAGTTTTCGAAAATCGCACCTAACATCACCCACCTGGATTTATACACCTGGTCGTAAAGGTTGAAGAGCTAGCGGACCAGCTGGCAAGCAATGCAACAACGCATGTGGGAAGAAGTATGAAAAGAGCAGATATCATCAATGCTGTATGGACTGGACTAGTGGATATTGACGAATCTCTGAATGTTCAACCAGTAACTCAAAGAGCACCTCTTCGGATGCGAATCCAAAAAGAACAAATCTTAGACTTTATCAGACAGTTATTCGTAACACTGCAGTCTAACAAGATACCCAAACTATCATTAAACTACGGTAACGTCTGGATTGTTGTGGATGCATGTCTCCGGCTTGAGGATCGTTCCATTGACATCAGTAGTTCTTGTCAGTGACAGTCCGGCCGACGCCCTCGACCTGCCACAGTAGATGCAGTTCTCGAACAATTTCCCTAGCTCTTTCTTGAAGTTGTCGTTGAGCCAGCCGTAGAGGAAGGGATTGATGCAGGCCGAACTCATGGCAAAGACTTTAAGCATGAGATCTGCCAGTATAAAATAACGACCTTTGACTAACTTATGACTGAATTCAGCCGTTAGAGCAAACAGATTCCAAGGTAGCCAGCAGATAGTGAAGGTGAGGACCACTGCGATAAGTATTTTGTTTGTGCGCTGGTTCCTTCTTGTGTCGTGTTTCTTCAGTGGTCGTTTTCGAAGAACGTTGCAGATATGTGTGTAGAAGAACGACGTGAGGCAAAGTGGCAGCACAAACTGTAGCAGAAAGATGGAAACCGAATAGATCTGCTTGTCCAGGTAGGAAGGCCATGACTCGGAACAGTATGTCTGGGGAAGAGAATAATCAAAGGCAAAGACTGTAATAATTTGTCCATAATTTTTAGAAGTCAAGTATATTCTACAAACTATTTCTTTCTATAAATTACTTCAAAACGAAGCTATTCAATCGTAGAAATCAAGGTAGTATTACAACTTTACCTACCTACCGGTTTACCGACCCCACCTACTTAGCGATTTTGTTAACCTACTTACCTCCCTGTCTATACATTATGTCTGCCTGCCCACATACCTACCTACCTACATTCTATCTGGCTGCTGGTCTGAGTACCCTTCCGCATTTCAGTTAGCCTAACTTTTTGTTGTCATGTGCGCCTACATACTTTCCTATATAGTACACATCTATTTAGGAACATTTCTAGCTTCCTTTATATTTACACTCGATAATCAATGAATTAATAAATGAATGAATCAAACAATCTATCTGTCCGTCCGTCTGCCTGTCTGTCAGTCAATTTGTAAGCAAATCTGATTGTAATATATGTTATATCTATTAATCTGACATTCTACATGATTTTTCCTGTTTGTCTGTCTGTGAATCTGCAAGTCAGCCTGTTTGTAATTCTGTATATAACCTGTCTTTAAACGTGGCTACCTGTCAGTCTGTCTGTCTGTCTCTAATTCGTGTACATGACTGCCCCCTGTCTGTCTATAACTCTATTTCTCTGTATTTCCGCGCGTCTGTCCGACCTAGCTGGTGCGTCTACCCAATGTATCACTTCCCCTGTCTGGATGTCAGGTTTCATTTCTTCTCCCATACTGACGCCATACTCACTTATGCTACTTAGTATGACCTTTATCTCCCATGCGAATTTGATTTTATGAAAGGGGTTTTCCTGTCAACGTTTGAACAGTTCTGTATCGACCGTTTATTATGTTTTTATGCTTCCTTTACCCCTTACTTCCTGAATTCCAAAAGTAGAATAGATATAAATAAAATTAAAAATAAATACAAAATAAACAATAAAAGACGTATATTTAAAAAAAAAAAAAAAAAACAATTTAAACAACTGACGTACAGATTTAAAAAAAAAATATTTAAAACAACTTCAACACTTTAAATATTTGAGGAGCATCTTCACCTATAATGGCATAATAGACACAAAGATTCATACAAGTCCAATAAACCAACAAATGACATCACATTTGAAACACGAAAAGACAGATTATAACTACAGTCCTCATACCTAGTGCTATCAGTGTTAGACTTGGACAATGACTAAGGAACACCAAAGAAAACTGAAACAATTATAAATTATGTGCTTGACAAATGCCGAGGGAAAAAACAAAACAAGAAGATTTGATATTAGAAACGAAGAAATTACAAGAACTATTGGAACAACTTCTATAATTAAATTCACTGAAAAACAAAGACTGTAATGGCTTGTCAATTTATTGAATCTAATGATCCTAGTAACGAGAGAGTACAAAATGACCAAGAGGTAGGGGACGATCAAGAATATGATGGATTAGAGGAGTCATTGATACCTGTAGATACCAAAACGTCACAGCATACCAGACAAACGAGCGTGCCCTAACTCGGGTATCTATGAACTTGCAGCACCTGTGTGGCACAAACAGAATATGGACAAAAGAAAATAGACACTTATGTCTATAGCACGTAACACCTTGCAAAGATAAAATCAGGAATGAAGTTACAAGACCAAACGTGAGCACATAATGAGTTTTAAACTTCATTACAAAGACAGCAAATAAAATGATTTGCTCACTCAAAGAGAATACATTACGACATCTTACCATCAGCGGTATCCACTAACAGAGGGAAAAGACGTAGAGCAATAAGGTGCACCGAGAACAAGATGGAGAGAAAACATAGAAAAACAGCAGGACGTGTCTATGGTCGAGGAGGCCAGAATGTCAAGAAGCAGAACCGTATATCTCCCTCGACACTGAAGCAGTAAAAAAACAACAGTGAAGAAGAAGAAGAAGAAGAAAAAGAAGAAGAAGAAAAAAGAAACGGAGAAGAAGAAGAAGAAGAAGAAGAAGAAGAAGAAGAAGAAGAAGAAGAAGAAGAAGAAGAAGAAGAAGAAGAAGGAAGAAGAGGAAAAGGAGGAAGAGGAGGAAGAAGAACGCAGAAACCCCATTCAACCTTAAGTTATATTAGGGCTGCCGACTACAGCCAGGGTGGGACTTGAACCAAAATGTCGACATCTGTAGTGGTGAAAAAAGAAAAGTGAAAACCAATTTACAAATCCAAACATTATTCATAAACAAATAGAACAATTGAAATAACAAGAATCTGCACTGGTGCTTTATCAAACATTGTCACCACTGCCAATACCCACCACACCCCTCCCAACTCTCTCTCTCACACACACACACAACCACACATACACATACACAAGCGTGCACATTTAAGAACAATGCAGGCGGGGGAGGGGGGTGGGGATGGGGGGGGGGGGTCTGCAGCCTTCGAAGTCATGGCCAACGGCTAGTGCAGTTCCAAGGAACTGTGCAGGTTGTGAATTGTGTGTGTGCATGTGTGTGTGCGCGTTTGTGTGTGCGTGATTGTGGAATTGACTGCTGAAAAAAAAAAAACCAGCATCGGAGCAAGGACTAACCGGCGAAAATACACGCCAGATGATTATGTTGTGATAGGTAAAAAAAAAATGATTCGGTTTGATTACAAAGGACCTTGGAAATTGTTTAAGCCTCGCATGTTACATCGCAACGTCTAGCATTCGGATAGTTGGAGAGTAGTACAACCCGACGTGTTTTGATTTTAATTAATTCACAGTGCATTCTTTGGAAAGGGGAGTGGGTGTGGCTATAATCATCTGATTAATCTCAAATTAAAAAGCATATCATGGCTTTTTTGTTTTTCTCAGCCGATTCGGTTGAATGCGGTAATGATCAGGCTGATAGATCAGCTGCTGTCGCCCCATAGAGCGATAAGCTACTTCATCATAAATTAGTCTCGGTGAAAGCATCCTGGGATTAAGTAAGCAATGCAACATAAAAGACAGAAAACAGGAAAAACAAAGCATCCATATCAGGAGAAAATGAGACTGTTGTTAAGGAGCAGAGGGTCTGGACGATTTTCTCCCTGCAGGGGATAAACAGGCAAACTTTCAATCAAGTCGTAACTGACACCACTAATCAGCTTAGTTGGCTTCAGAGGAAGAGGAGGGAGAACCTACAGGAATGTCCGGAGCACAGTGATTTCAGTTCTTGTTTCATTTATTAATTTGTGTATAGCGTTTGTGTATGTGTATGTGTATGTGTGTGTGTGTGTGTGTGTGTGTGTGTGTGTGTGTGTGTTTTGCTTTTACACATGATGGTGCTTCAAAAAATTAGTAAATTATTTGAGATTCAGCAGATTTATTATTAATATCATTAAGCACCTAATCATTTATTGTGTCACTTTAGCACCCCACAGAAAATGTGTAAATAGACTAAGCCGCCTCCCCCTCCAGTTTGTGTGTGTCGACCCCCAGACTAGGACGGAAACCATCTCGTAAACTTACGACTGGAATATACGAGGGTTCAACACTTCACCTGACAATAGGCGCATCTGAAGTAATACCACCTTTACCATAGTGATGCTTGAGTCTAGTGTCTCTATAAAGTTAGTGGGCCTCCGACGCTTCCTACCTCTTCCTCCACATCCACCAGCTACCATGTTTACACATATTCTTAGAGTTAAAAGTCCTCCATAGTGCTAACTAGACACTGCCAACTGATCCGCCCGCGTATTTTGAGGGAAGACATGCTGCCCATGTTGAGATCCAATCGTTTAACTAATCACAACAGTCCAGGCTGCAATATAATGTGCAGCCATAACTTTCAGACACGCTGGCGTGTTATTTCAAAGAAACTGTGGATGTTATTACTATTTTAATGTTTTTTCCTTCCAATAAATCGTCGCCCCAATACTCACATTTCCACATAAGCGTCATTCATTAGAGATAATTTTATTCAAATAAACATTTTGACAATACGATGCATCGATATTTGTTTTCTCATTCTTCCCACGCAATATTCAATCCATTTTTTTTTGCTTGCCAAAGCCGTCAAAACGTGTCTGGGAATTGAGGGTACCAATATAAATCCACGATTCTTATTCGTTTCATGCATTGTTCCCGAGTGAATACCCTAAGGCATGAACATCGCAAATGATGGGGATTATTTCTCGTATCTCACTAGCTTTAATTTACGATTAAAGAATCCAGCATTAAAGCTAATGGATTAGTGCAGTAAGTGAAAGGAATAGCATAATCAGTAATAAGAAGAACTCCACGCGGAAGCATACACAGCAAGGGTCCACCAGTCATCAGCAGAAATCCTTCGACGATAATTGTTTCGGCCCATTGCTTCCCTAAACAATCTCGGAAGGTAGGCCGACCTGGGTCATGAAGCCAGGCCCCGCTCTTCATCTGCTGCACTTAATCGGAAACGAAAGGGACAAGACGGTATGGCGACTTTCAAAAGTGCTGTGAGATTTAGTGTTGTATTGTCACTGCGGTAGCAAATTAGATCAGCTGACTACCTTCACAACCAGAGTGACAAGCTTATGGTTGATTCGTCAGACCATTGTTAAGACTTTTGCCTTTGGCAGAGAGACACCGGCAGACATTTATCGAACACGTTGGCTTTTAAGGGATAAGACGTTCTTTACCACTAGAGACACGGATCAGTCTACCGAGGCCCATCCCCCACGACGTTCCGTTGCGCCCAGAACCAGCTCAAAGCTTATTCAGCAGCTTCGCCCAGTTGTTGTAGTGACCTTTTGAGCTCGTTTCCCTGCAAGCCCAGCTGCTGTAGCACATTGTACATGGAAGTGGAGATAAGGGAAAATTTTTAATGTGTACGCGTCGTCTCTCCTCAGACAGGCCACGAGCTTACAGTACCTCTCCAGCTTGAACAAGTGATTTTCTTCCATCTGCGACTCATACAGCACGGTCAGCTCAATCAGGATGAGCTGGCCTTTTTCTGCAGAGTGTAGGACTATGTACCTTTCGAAACCAGGC